CCAGGAGTTAACTCTTGTCTTCTAGGTTGGGTTCAAAGTTGCAAATCTGCGGAATTGAATATTGACAGTCGCAAACTCAAAATAGGACTATTTCAAAAACTGTTATAAAAAACTAGAACTTCACATTATTTATGCAATTTCTTATGAAGCATTTCTTAAAACTAGAGGGCCGCGCCCCCTGTTCGCTTACGCTCGCCCAACCCCGAAAATTGCTACGCAATCTTATATGGTTTAATTCGCAAACCAAGCTCGCTTCGTCGCTACTAACTTAGGTACATTGCAAATGCACAAAATTCTAAGAATTCAAAACAATCGTTCAAATCCATGTAAAAAAATTACATCTTTTTAGTAAATACTAAGTCATTAAAATAAATTTGAATTCAAATAAATGACATGTAATTCGTTAAACCTATTAGAAATGTGCTATAGTATAAAATCTTAAAGCGTAACAGCACGACTGAGACTCATTTTTCAATGAATAACTAATAACAATAATAAAACAAATAAATTCGTGATATAAATCAAAAATCGTCAAATAAATTCGTAATATATAAATTCGTGAAAAAAAGCGCTTTCGACAAAATACTAAAATAGAGATCTATCGACAAAGACTACTCACTTCTGCCTAGCTTGATAGTATGAGATTGTCGCAGCTGATGCTCTCTGGTTATTTCAGTTTCCGTTTTCAAAAGCACTATATTTTGAGCCACCTCAGCTAAATTTCGCATGTGAAATTTTTAGCGGTAATCATTGGTCGATTCGCCGTGTAAGAGAAATAGTAACGTAAACAAAACAAAGCAAATGTTGCCACCGGCGGAAAAGAAATAAAGTCAAAATTTGGGAGCCACGTAAGAGAATTATATATATTAGATATATTAAGCACGTTAAGGTTTGTATGTAAAATGTCGAATAACGCAGAAGTTGAATTATGTTTTCCACTTCTAAAATATTATGTTATTACTGGCCTGTGGACACTAACCCTGTGCACAGGCATGACACACTCGACTAAAAATATAGAAATTTAATTTATTTTTATTTATTTATTGTCTCTTTATTTTCTTATCGTAACTACCACTCTGACTTTAATGTCAAATAACTCTTACTTAATACAAAATAATTTTTTAAATAAAATTTAATTGTAAACTGAAAGAAACATGCAATGAAAAGTTGCTAATTTTGATCTCATTTAGTAAAATTATAATTTTTATTAGTTACCACATTTTTATATTTAGTCGACCGTGGCAATCTTTTGTATAGCAGTTAGTTCCTATAAATTCATTGTTCATAAATTGAAAAAAAAAAGGCAAGGGTAATCAAATGTGACTATTAACAAATGAGGTAAGCATATTCATTCATAGTTTTATAACTCCTATTAATCAAAACGAAGACTAAAAATTATTTAATATTCCAATTAAAGGAAAAGTTAACGAAGTTACTTTACCGCGAAAGTCTTGTTTTTTATTTTTTTTTAGAAATATTTTTTTCTATTTAAAGAGTTTTGTGATGGCCAAATGAAATGTACTTATGACCAAACTACTTACTTACCAAAACTTACCAGAAATTTTTGAGTGATAAATGTCAGAAATATCCCATTTGTGTACTCTAGCCCCATGTCCTCACTAGCCCTTATCCCCTATGCGTTTTAATTCATGCGCCTAAAAACAGTCTGAGCCACGTGTAACTTTTTCGAGACCTCAAGCTGCGTGTTTCAAGTTATAACTTATTAGAAAGTAACAGAAGGTCAAGTTCAAGGATTTTACGAAAAAAAAGTACGTAATTTGTTTCTTTACGGTTTGCAAGAAACTGTTCTTATATTTTAAATGCTTCCCTTGAAACAATGTAAAGTAATGAAAGATTCATTATGTAAAAGCTGCATTATTTTCGTTGCCATTCTCATGGATTGATGTAAGCAGCTTTTCCTCTTCTAAGTTTAGTTAAGGAAAACATTGTTTTATATAACATGTTGACCGATAAAAAATATTTTCTATCAATAGCCGATTGTGCAATTATACCCTGTGTGCATTTTTACTATTAAGTACTGAGCATCGTTTCATTTTTTCCTCATTCATAATGATGTAAGGATGAACTTATACTTATCCTCCAAATTTTGCGGAATTTCCATAGTTTTATAAATTATTTTTTCTCAAGATAGGAAAGTTAAGGTATAAATATTTTTATAAATTTCATTAAAAGAATTTTGCTTACACCGAACATAAATAGTTTCAACAGTTACGTAAAAAATCAATTAGACAAGTAGTTATATATTTATTCCTGAGAATTTTTTTTTTTATAAATTGCATTTGTTTCAAAATTTATGGCTTTAGTTCTCTTTCAGTGAAAAAAAAATATTTTGCAGAAACTTCAAACGTAGAAGGGTATGCATACCCTCAAATGTTGAAGAAAATGCTTATAGGCCGTTCAAAAAGTACGTACACAAAATTGGAGAAATTTTAACCCCCTGTCCCCCTTCGTACATCACCGTACATAAGGTCTTACTCTCCCCCCCCCTTAGAGTATGTACATTTTATTAGTCTACCCCCCTTAAATTAAAATTAAAATAATTATGTTTTAAATAAAATTAAATATTTACTTAAAATAATTTATTCATTTAAATTATTTAAACAGTCTGGTGTTTGCAGTTCTTTATTTTGCGAGACAACTTTTTTTGAGAACTGATTTACTCATTCTAACAAGTGGTCGCGGTGTGAAAAAAAATACAAGAACAAACATATGTATAATACATGTGTAGGAAAAAGTCAAATTTAAATTTGGTGTATGCTTATAGTGTACGTACTTTGTATAATACCTCCCCACCGTTCAAAATAAAAAATCCCCCCCTTCGGGATGTACGTACTTTTTGAACGGCCCCTTACCCTTCTATCAAGTACAGAATTTCCATAGCATTATAAAATAATTTTCCAAATCGTTGTAATGATAACGTATTAATATTCAGGTATGCTACCGGTGTCTAATGTAAAAAGTTGTGGTAAATAAAAAGCAAAAATCTGTTGAAAAAATTAAAATTTAAAAATTTTTCAAACATATTTTTTTTAATTCACTACTTTGCAACGTAAGTAGTGGTATTGGTTAAATTAAATAGTTTAAATAAACAAAAATGAATTTAGTTTCTACCATCTCTTATATTTTTAGTTGCCTGTTGCATCTTTGAACATTAGAATTTATTAGAGAATTTAGAATTATAAGAATTCAGTTCATCATTGTACTAAATAACTTAACAATCATACAAAAGGTCACATAAGCTAAAGATTAAGTTTGAAAAATTCTAATAAACATGAAATGGAAATTCCATTTACTTTAAAATTTTCTGCCATACGTTTATACCAATGCAAAAAAATATTCTGCAGAAATCTCAAATGTTAAAATGTATATTCAAATTGGACACGTAACGAGGGAGTGTAGGAGAGGAAATAAAAGAAGACAGGCACATAAATGACGCTATCTAAACATATTACACAGTATTAACAAATTTTTATTTCTTTACGCGTTAAGTAGAAATCCTAGTTTAATTGGGCTAATAATTTCGAAAAACATATGTTTAGAAATATATATATTTCGAAACATATTTGTGTAATAGTTAAGAGATGGGTAATAATCCTCATCACGGATAATCCACTCTCCGATGATTGGAACTCTTCTGTGATTGCTTTATCAGA